CAGCCGGCCTATCCGCCAACTGAAGTGGAACGGGCGCTGATTGAGCGCATAGCGGCCATCCTTCGAGAGCAGGTGCCCGAAGTTGGGGACGGCGTTTAGGTGGTGGTTTGTTTTTCTTCTTGTGAACCCGATTTCTTTTTCAAGATCAAATGAGCTTTTTGGGAGAAGTAGAAGTTATGTTTTCTGTTCAGCAGTTTTTTAAGATCAGCTGTCGATACTATCGATGATGGCGCCCGCGTTTCAGCTTCTGCTGCTGCTGCTTTGATTGTTGTCATTTGATTTTTTTTGTGCCCACGTGAAGCGCTTACCGGCGATTGGAACTTTTTTTTTGGGGTTTCTAGGATTCTAGGACCCTTCTACTTCTAAGCTATGATCGAACCATGCAGGAAAGAAGATGACACCACCACCACAACAGCAGTTATCAACCAGCCTGGGCCAGAGACTGTCAATGACTCAAAGCAACAGCAAGCTGAGGAAGAGTACTTTGAGCGGCGAATCGAGTTTGAGGCACCTGAAGTTCTAAAACTGTTTCCCAAGTTTAAGGGAGATAAAGAGGCTCAGCCCGGGCTGAAGATTCTTCAAAAATGGGACTCTGACGAGTCGGGCGTCGTCTGGGACGCCTCGCTGCTGCTGGCCAAGTACCTGGAACGGTTGGCGGCTTCAAAAGATGATAGCTCCAAAAAGAGAAGCCTCTTCAGCGAAGCGAAAGCCGTCGAACTTGGAAGCGGCACCGGCTTCCTCGGCCTCTGGCTCGCCGCCATGGGCGCCCGAGTGCTGCTCACCGATCTGCCCTCGAATCTGGAGCTGATGAAGCAGAATTTGAAGCTCAACTCTTCTTCAGCACAAAAAGACGGACTCATCATCGAGGAAGACCTCGTGAGCATCGCCGCCTTTGACTGGCTGGACGGCAGTCAGCGGCAAACGGAGCGGGACTTTCTCGGCTGGGCGCCAATCAGGGCCATTGACTACTTTATCGTCTCCGATTGTCTCTACTACAAAGAGGTAAGTTTTTTGCTGCTATTTTATTTCTTCAGTTTAGTATTGACAAAAAAATAATTGATTTTTGTCTATTGATCATAGCTTTTCAATGACTTGATCTGAACTACTTTTTTATTACAACTTTTTTTGTTTAGGGAATCGAGGCAATCTACTCACTGCTAGACTGGGTTCTGGGCGACCTGCAGACGAGTGCACAGTTTTTGATCGCCTACGAGGACCGCGAGGACAAGGCGGAGATGATTACGCAGTTTTTAATTGTAAACTATATTATTCTAATCTCGAGTGCTATTTTACTAACATTTTACCATTTCGATTTTCCAGGTCATCAGCCACAATCCGGCGCTAAAGTGCACCGAGATTCCCGCCACCGAGCTTCACCCTGACTACCACTCGCCTGATTTGCACCTTCTTCTGATTGTTGCCCGAAAAGAGAACTCTTGACTCCATTAAGCCAAGCAACACACCAACCAACACATCATTCGTCTTCATCAACAGAATCCCCTCGGTTAATTGGCGCTGTCACTCAATTTGAAGCAGAACATTTACTTTGCCCACACACACACGCACACCTTCAACAAAGGTCAGTCAATTTGTTAAAAATGTCTTACAGCGTGTTACATTCATGTCATTCATGTTCTTGCGACACAAAGTTGTCGCCTGCTTTGTTGCTTTTCAAGGTCAGCCACCGGGTGACCTTTTTGTGCGGTTTTGTGTTATTTATTGCCTCAGATTTAAAATTAGAGGGGCAAAGAACGNTTCATGTTCTTGCGACACAAAGTTGTCGCCTGCTTTGTTGCTTTTCAAGGTCAGCCACCGGGTGACCTTTTTGTGCGGTTTTGTGTTATTTATTGCCTCAGATTTAAAATTAGAGGGGCAAAGAACGCACCTTTTTCACTCGTAACCGAGACGATAAATCCTCGGCACTGAGGAAAAAATTCTCTTTTTGTGTGTGAACCAGAACAATAAATCTTATCCAAATCTGCAAAAAAAATAAAATTTGTTCAGAAAAATCGGTTTTCAGGGCAAGCAAATTAAATTGAAAAGTTACTTTGTTGTTCATTTTTTACA